TGGAGCTCCCCAGCATACGCATTCAAACCTCTCCTCACCGAGGGGTGTCTCTGAGAGCCCCCTTTTCTCCTGATCCCATCCCTCCCCTGCGCTGGGACACTGCCTGAACTTGGGTGACTTCCACCCAAACTCCAACCTGGGCTGTCACCGTGTTCACCAGAAGCATAACCCAGAGGGACCTGTGGCCAGCACCTCAACAGACCCAACGCCATCGCTTCTCCTCACAGTTTGCCCCCACCGGTCCTTGGTACAGAACCTGGCTACGGACTAAGGATGGGGCGAAGGGGGTTCGAGCACCGCTCAGCAGGGCCCGATCTCCTCGAGATGATTTGGACGCCTGCAGAACATCCTCTCCCTTGTACCCACGCAGCTGGAGGACAAGACCATGATGTTTCCCAGGACACAGCCCCAAAACAGGGTCTGTCGTGGTGCGGCATCACGCACCGCCAGCACGAGACACCAGCACGCCTGCACTTGCCTCCCGGGCCTCGAGTGGCTTGGGGTTAACACACCGAGGAGACAATTAGGGGCCAACCGACTGAATCTTACACTCCTCCGGTTGTGACAACCATGGTTTGCAGAGGGGACGGACTGCCGCTGCCTGGGGCAGGGTTGCTGCCCGAGCGGGGACAGGGATGCTCATCTGGGCGCCTGCCAGCGAGCCGAGCCGGCCTCTCCGCACGCCGAGGTGGACTGTGCATCCCCGCTCCCCGTGGACAGATCCGAGCTGACAGCCACGTCTTCCTCAGTCCCGTTTGTTTCTATTTTCCATCTTCCGAGTTGCTGCTGGTGAATTGGATGATGTTTCAGTCTCCCTTTTCTAACCATAGGCCAAAGGATGGGGGAGGGAAGAAATGCACTTTTGGCCTCTCTGCGAGCACCGGTACAGAAAACCCACCGGAGCGGGAGCTGTGGGCTGCTGCCCCATATGGGAAGAGGCTGGGGCACCGATCTGTCCTTGGGATCCCGGCCTGGAGAGAGACAGGAGACTGTACGCAGCGTGGGAACTGGAAAATAAAAGCCTCTGTCCTCCTGGGAAAGGGGGTTCAACCCTCGGAGGCTCTCGTAAGGCCGCATGTGAATGTGGACAATACTGAACTCATCCCTCTCACTCTTCGCCAGGGGCTGCCAGCAGGACAGGTTCAGGCTCACTGAAAAGAATTGTCCCACGCCCACTCCCAAGGGGTTCAAGTGATGCTGGCGAGGGCCTCTTCATGCCCAGCCATCCCTTCCCACCCCAAAACAAGCTCTGGGGTGAGCCACGGGCACGCCGGGGAGGAGTTTCTGAGCATGGAGCATCCTGTGGTG